TATTTATAATATTTTATGTACTTTTGTGCATGTGCACAGGATATCTACTAGTTATATTGCATATCCACCCAAAAATACGAAATACTACATAACAGAGCCACAAACATGGTTAATAAGGTGCACATCAATAAAACATAAAAATATCCATCACAATATGGAAACAGCTACATGACTGTTTCTTGAGCTGCTCACTTTATTTTACCCAACATAAATTTTATCAGGTACGGGTGTTAATAAAAAAAATAAAATAATAAGAAAACAATTTAACACATTTAAGCTCATAAAAACCCCAAAAGTTATTTGTTGGAAATAATAGACAAATTCTTAAAATCATTGAAACACAAAAATCATTCGGTCTCCTTCAATTGCCATCTTACTCGTCCTGTTTCTGTTCATCGGTAATTTGATGTTCGTCATTTTTGTCTTCCTCGGTTACTTCATCTTCGCCCTACAAATATTGAAAGCAACCAATCATTTTTAAATAGAAAACTGAATAATAAATAAAATAAACGACAACTATATTTTGGAAAAAAAAAAATAGTAGTTGATATTGTTGGCAAATGATCTGTTCAAATTTATGATTCCATATCAATATATTTGATATGTGTTGATGAGATAAATCTGGCCGAAAATTGGACTACATATTTTTCTAACTTAGAATTCCAAATCAAATTGATTCAAGCAGCGAGCTCCAGTCGAGTCTGACCGCCATAACCACGTCCCCCACCGACATGCAACCAACTTTGGACATCCATGTCCAGCCCCCACCGACGTACAACCAACTTTGCACATCCATGTCTAGCTAAGGAAAAAAATGATCAGCCGCAACTTCCAGTCTCCAGTCATGACCAGTCTATCTGTCGCCGGAAGCATCGCCGGCGACCTTAGAATTAGCTGCAATACCATGCCCAGGATAATCTCAGCAAATTTGTACAGTTCCCTCAACACGCCAAACTGTCCCTTGGTCTCCTCCAACTGTTTAAAAATACCAGCATTTAGCAACAAAAACAT